CCGAGCACATGCGCCAGCTCCTTCAGCACCCTTGGGTGGATCCTATCTGGCCTCACAGACCTGTGTGTGTCTGTGTGGCATAGCAGGTCACTGACCATTTCCACTTGGATTTTGCGGGTTTCCTTCTGCTCACCATCCCTGTCTTCCTGCTCAGGGGGCTGGGTGTCCAGAGAAAAACTTTCCTCACTCTTAAAGACTGAGGCAAAGAAGGCATGAAGTACCTCAGCCATTTTCTCATCCTTTGTCACTAAATTTCCCCTCACATCTAAGAGAGGGTGGAGATTCTCCTTCATCCTCCTTTTATTGCTAATGTATTTATAGAAACATTTTTTACTGTATTTTATGGCGGTAGCCAGGCTAAGTTTTAGCTGGGCTTTGGCTCTTCTGACTTTCTCCCTGCATAACCTCGCGGTATCCTTGTAGTCCTCCTGAGTGGCCTGCCCCGTACTCCAAAGGACATAAACTCTCCTTTTTTTATGAATTCCAGCCAAAGCTCTCTGTTCAGCCAGGCTGGTCATCTTCCCTGATGGCTTGTCTTTCAGCACATGGGGACGGCCTGCTCCTGCACCTTCAAGATTTCCTCCTTGAAAAGTGTCCAGCCTTCCTGGACTCCATTGCCCTTCAGGACTGCCCCCCAAGGGACTCTGTCAACCGGGCTTCTAAACAGGCCAAAGGCTGCCGTCTGCAAGTCCAAGGTGGTGATTCTGCTAGCCCCCCTCCTTACTGCTCCAAGAATCAAAAACTTACTGTTTTGTGATCGCTGTGCTCAAGATGGCCTCCAACCATTACATCACCCACAAGTCCTTCCCTGTTCACAAACAAGTCCAGCAGGGCACCTTCCCTAGTTGGCTCACTCACCAGCTGTGTGTCAGGAGTTTATCTTCCACACACTCCAGCAACCTTGTGGACTGTTTCCTATCTGCTGTATTGTATTTCCAGCAGACATCTGGTAAGTTGAAGTCACCCACGAGAACAAGGGCCAGCGATTGTGAGACTTCCACCAGCTGCTTATAGACTATTTCATCTGCTTCTTCATCCTGGTTGGGTGGTGTGTAACAGACTCCCACCATATCTGCCTTGTTGGCCTTCCCCCTGATTCTTATCCATAAGCACTCAACCCTATTGTCGCCATCATCAAGCTCTAGGCAGTCAAAACACTCCCTCACATACACAGCTACCCCACCACCTCTCCTTTCTTGCCTATCTCTTCTGTGTAGGTGAGAGAGGCATGAGTTTGAAGACCTGTAGAGAGACTTACTAAAGTTGGAAACACAGGTCTGGGCGTAGGAACTCCCCGCTGGAGAGCTTCCAAGACACCAGTTTGATCTGCCTCTGTAGGCAATGGTTGAGTCCTTACTTCAGGACTCCGTCGTTGTCACCAACAATTCAAGCCACAAATTAAGTGATGAAGTTAGAGGAACTGATCCTACTCCTTGTATGTACAACATCAGTTCATGTATAATTCCTGACGAATACCCTAGGAAATTTGAGTATTGGTTAAGATTCAAGTGGAGAAAAGAGGCAGGTGTGGTTCTGAGACCAATCAGTACAGAAGCAGTATTTTTATGTTTCTGAGAGATCTTAACTGTTTTGTTTCGTTTTTCAATTTTTGTTACACTTCAGGGGAAAAATACATTAGTTGCAATTTAGTAGTCTTTCCTAGAAGCTAGGTCCTTAAATAGTACTGTCATATTATGTTTTCATAGGATTGAAAAGCAATGAAAGGAGGTAGGATTTTGAGGCATTGACATGGGAGTATAAGCATGGAGAAAGTGAAGTCAGCTAAGCAGAGTTATAGTGAAATTAAAATTTGGAAATCAATTGGTTAAAAGCCTTTCTAAATTTTCATCTTTCCTCAGAAAGTTCCTTCTTGTTGCTAGATAAAACCAATGCCAAAAAATTCCTTAGTGACACTGGAATGTGATGTCTATCTTAACAAATACCGAACTATCTAAAATTCTCAACATTATCTTGACTTGAACAAAACATGGTTTGCAATTTTTCAGGACCTCCTTTTACCTGGCCAATTTATATGAACTGTTGTCTCTCTTAAGACAGTGTGCTAACCTCATTGTTTGTTATATCTGGTAGATTTTTATAATTAAAGTTGATGGTCAGTATTCTCTTAATTTGGATGTAATTATTGTCATGAATTGCAGTGTCAAGGCATTAAATCTAAAAATTGTGTGCCATTGTGTGAATAATCATAGCAAACATTTTTTGCACCTCTTTTCAGTTTTGATTCCATAGCTTTTAGCGGCAAGGTTTTTATGTTGTTAAGCATTATTGCAAGTTTACGCATCAGCTACTCTTCTGCTTTTGAGATCTCAGCATCTCTCAAATGCAGTTGTTTATTTTCCCATATTTTAGAAGAAATTAGGGACTGTATTTTTCCCAAACACTGCTGGGTGCTCAAATACATGCCCACTGTGTAGTAGCTACTTTTATGTAAAGTTATGCACCTTCTATTTTTAATTGTAATCTTGTATAGGCAGTTGCATGGTTTTTTAAATATTTTAATGTAAAATAAAGTCATCTCTTTTTTTCTTTTACATACCTCTCTGCCTTGAGGTTTTTATTACTCTAGCAGATTCTAGTCCTTGAGGTACATATTTAAGAGGGATGAGGCATCAAATCAATGTATTCTAGCTGCATCACTGTCATGATCCTCCATCCAACAAAGTGTTAAGATGCACCTTTGCCTTCAGTGATGAAGGAGTCACTGGAGCTACTCACAGGCTACTTTCAAGCACATGTTTGCAGTTTCGGTACTAGTTAAAGATTCTCTGTTGACTTTCATCATGAGAAATCTACCCTGAGCACACGGCAATCCGTGTGGGTATGGAGTGTGGCCAGCCCTATCACCCCTGTTGCACAAAGGTTGCTCCCTTGAACAGCTGTTCATTTTTGAGACCCACCCTGGAACAGTTACTCTCTTTCTAAATCCACCCTCAAACAGTTACTCACCTTATCCACGCCCCCAAAGTGACGACAGTGGAAAGTCCGAGAAGGCAGCAGCACAGAGCTTTCAAACCCTCACGAGGCAAGAAAAACATTTGCTTCTTTTCTGTGTGTGGATTTTTATTTTTTGTTAATGGTTTGTTGTATTTTGTCTAAGAAGAGGCATAAGCTTTATGGTGGGAGGAATATATTCACAGTAAACCACTGCAGCAATTAATAAATGACACAGCTTTGCTTCATCATGTAACTAACCCTGGAAGCTGTTTTTTTGTTTCATTTCAAACGTTCCACTAGGATAAAGCTTACTCCTTAGTTTTCCCTAATTGACGTTATATGAATGGATTTCACAGTTGATGTGAAAACCATGAAATATTGTGGGTCATGTGGGGGGATCTGGTATTTCTGTTTTTTTCATGGCTCAAACTACAGATCATGGGGATTCAATTAGGTATTGCTTATACGTGATTTATGCTTTTCTACCAGTAGGTCAGCTAACTCAGGAAAATGTATGTGCTGTCCATCCTACCTAGGAAGAAGGGATTGTGCCACTGGGCGTGGTTGTAGGCTGTTGTTTCATACAAATAGTGTTTTCAGGAGTACTGAGCGCTTACAGATGGCTTATGGGTCCAACAGAGCTGCGAGTGCTCAACTATCTAGAAAGCAGGTCTCATATGAACTAAACAGGGCTTGAAGTTGTAACAAGTTCCAGCCAGCTTAGCCCCAGGTATGTGTCCACATACCTCTAGGCCATGGAAAGAAGGATAATTACAGCCTGATCCTGCAAGGTGCTGAGCACTCCAGTCCCCATCCCACAACTCACTTAACCAGGACAGATTTACTGAGGGGTTAAAAGGACTGTCATCCTCATGAGCGCCATTTGGTGCAATGTATGCTCAGTTAAGTACACAGGCTTTGCCTCTGCCCCCTGCCACCTCACCTTTCCAGGTAGCGTTGCAGATGTATCCTGCCCCTTGCTTTGTGCCTGGCATTCATCCCAATGAATGCTGGTGCTCCTTGTGTATTTCCAATTTAGCACGTTGCTTTGCTGGACTGTGACTGGAGTGTTCAGTTTGCCTTGCAGCACTGAATTCTAGATGAACTACTTATTTTTCTATTCCCTATTCTAGTACATTTTGTAGAGTAATTTCTACTGATGATTCATTAACTATTCTAGCAATCTGTTGCTGCTGAAATGCAAGGGTTAGTTTCTGGTTTATTTTTTTTCCAGGCAAAATCTGTGTAAAATGTGAGAGCTCACATGATGTTTTTGTTAGGTATGATGCACTCACCAGGATTTGAGGAAAACCTAAATTTCAGCTTCCAGACTCTGATGAACGCAGACAGTCTCTACATGGTCTCCCATTACACTTTGCTGCTCAACCTGAAATTGGCCAACTTGGATTACTACAGGAAGAAGCCTGCCCAAGCCCCTGTGTTGCTGGTGAGTTGGGGAATGTGGGAAAACTGTTATAAAAAGAAAATTTGTTTTCCTTCCTTTCACATAGAACAGCCCACACGTAAAGCCTTCAGGCTGCTTGCAAAGTGGAGAAATAACAGTTGCAAATGAAGCGTTCTCCAAGCTGCTTATGAATCTTGCATGATGAATGTCATGCAGCTGAATTACACAGCTCCTCTGTAATTCAGGGAGGAATGAATGCTGCTTACTGATTATCTTTAAAGTAGCAGTTATTTTGATGGATACTCTGTCTTCAGAACAGATCTTCATTAGCATCATGTGATGCAGCAAGTGTTGTTCGTGCACATTATCAAGGGACATACCTTCATGTTGCAACTACTTGTGAGCATAACGACAAATTTCTTGCTTAATACTTGATTTGTATTTATGCAGATGAAGACATGAGAAGTTAGAGTGAAAAATAATTAGGTTTTAGTAATATGAACTGACGATTTTTGTGGCACCTGGGATTCCTCAACTTCTTAGGCTTTTCAAAATTTGTTTTGAAGGCTGCAGGAGTTAGAAAACATGAATCTATGTTTTTTGACTAAGTTGCCTAAGAGAAGTCATTTCAGAGTTTTCCTAAAAATAAAAAAATCAGTGATATATGGAACAAAAAAATGAAAACAGAAAAAAAAATCTGTCAAAATGTACCATTATTGCTGAGCTTCCCATGTAAGAAAATTTATATTCTAGAAGATCTCAAAAACAAGTGGGTATTAACATCGTCACCACTTCTGGTATGTTCTTTAGCAGCTGCAAAAGCAAATCTGTGACTAAAAACCTTCTCTAGGGGCAGTGCTGTTCACTAGAGACCTGAGCATGTCCTAAGTATTGTTAAAAGTAGTTCAGATATCTAACTGGACCCCAGTTCATCCGTGGTGACTCTTCAATGCAGAAGCACCCGATTGCTGGACAGGCAGCACTGGGTGCCACAACTTCTTTTTATTGGAATTGAGGTCTTACCCCTACCTTGTGGAAATCGTGAGAGATCAGCATGTCCCCTTGTCACTGTGCAAGAGCTGTCATTGCGATTTGCATCTTGCATGAACTGCAGTAAGAGTAGGCAAAGCTCCTTGTTCATGTCATTCTCCACCCCAGAGACACATTGCGATTCTTGGTTAATTCTTATTTTTGCATTACTTTATTTCTACTCCTGCATTCCTTTACACTCAGGAATGTATCTAGGAGCTGAGGCTCGTGCTGTAGGGCTTACTGTTGTCTTACATCTGGCTTTTATGGCGCTCTGCAGAAGGAGTTCATGAGGCAGGTCCAGTCCAGTGGAGTTCTGATGGTATTTTCCCAGGCCTGGGTTGAAGAACTGTATCACCAGGTACTAGAAAGGAACATGCTGGGGGAAGCTGGATACTGGGGAAGCCCTGAAGAGCACAATCTTCCACTTATCACCATGCTGACTGGTCAGTACTATGTTATGGTGGCAAGGCTAACTTCCGTGCACGTGTCTAAAACAAGCAACATTAACATGCTGCTTCCTTGCATTATATACAGAACAGCGTGTCATCATGCAGCATGTGGTGTTTCACGAAATTACTGCTAGAGAAGGAATCAGACTTAACTGTGGCAGGTACTTACGTGTTTGGTTCGGATCAGACAGAAAGCTTTTGAAGCATGGGTTTGAAAACAAACAGTCCCTGGGAGACAAGGAGAGTAGGTTTTTTTGCTGAACCAAAATGTCTCTTATTTCTGTCAGCTTCAGTTAAACTTGGTACCTGTTAATGATAAGAGGTAAGGCTGCTGGTTTTTTGATGTCGTAGCAAAGCCATTTCAGTGTGCCTGTGGTGCAGTACAAATATAAATAGTGGCATGTGATCCTGGAAGCCTTCCACAGATTGGGCTCCCCTTGGCTCAGATTAGTGCTACGCCGGGGATATGCCAAATGGTGCTATAGAGAAGCTTAAAACCTGGAGCACCTCTAACAAATGCCTAAAAAAAACCCTTAGCTTCCTTTGAGGGAAAAAATCAAATGGTATCATCAGAAAGGCAGCAGGATGTCTATGATACTGTATTGATATAAAATGCACTGTCTTGCTTGAATATGTGTACTATATGATTACAAAGAGGTAATTAAAACACTGTATGTGGGGAGTACACTGGCATCAGCTGAGCCATGAACTGGTAATCAAAGGGCACTGCTCTTAAAGTGTTTTCCTGACTGTGTTGAGCTCAGTGTTGCTTTTAGCTGTTGAGCTGGGAAGCTGAAAGAAACGCTTTGGAAAAACAATAGCCATGAAGTATGTGGAGAAGAGAGAGACAGACAGAGGCTGCTAGAAGGGAAATAAGTCTGACATCCCTAACATTAAACTCTCTGTGAGAAGCTGGTCTGTTGTGTTGGAAAAAGGCTTGTATTTCTTTTGTCAAGACTGAACCTACATAGGTCTAGAAAAGTTGTATTTAAGACATAGGATCCCAGTGCATCTTGAAGACTCAGACTGAGGTCTAGGAACATCACTAAGAAACATGGAGATTTAAGGGTGTGGGAAGGTCTGAACTGCAAGAAATGTCATGAAATCTTTGCTGAGTGTTCTGTTGACTGTGTAATGTCGTGGGGGTGGACAGGACTATTGAGAGTGGGCTATTTCCCCTCTTCAAGCAAATGTTGGTTACACTGGGCAAAGCATAAGATGCCACAGCTCATGTTTATGCCAAGGCTGCAGAAGGCTGCCAGAGAAGAGCAGCTGAAAAGCATACCTGAGAAGTCAGGAGTGCTAGTACTTATTTGAACAAAAAGCCGGTAGGAGATGCTTTCCTTATACCATCTGTGTGTCAAATAGTAATCTGTTGGTTTTTAATGTTCTGGCAGACATCGATGGCTTGGGAAGCAGTGCAATTGGTGGCCAATTGATGGCATCTGCTTCAGCTCAATCTCCTCTTTCCCAAAACCGGAAGGCAGATGATTCTGTTGTTGCAGGTATCAATACACTTGTGCTTATAACACGGTATCTACCAGCAGTGTGTTGTTATATACCATAAGCATTTTCAGATAAACTGTGTTTTAGAGCAACAGTTTAAGGGTTGAGGGAATTATGTTAGTACATTCTACATGTGAATTGGTAGTCCAGCATGCAGAGGACAAATATGACTGTTTTTTTTTACCACTGATGATAAAGCTACTGTTGTGTCATTTTCCAGTAGTAGTAGTAATTCATTTCTCACTCCAGGAGTTGCTTTTGCCCGATACCTTTTAATTGGCTGTTGGAAGAACTTGATTGACACTTTGTCCACACCACTCACTGGCCGCATGGCGGGCAGCTCCAAGGGGCTGGCCTTCATCTTGGGAGCAGAAGGAGCCAAGGAGCAGAACCAAAAGGAGAAGGACTCAATCTGCGTGAGCCTAGATGGACTAAGGAGGGCAGCCCGGCTGAGCTGTGCTCTAGGTACTACTGCATGTGGGATGTCATGGCAGACTCATAAAACAAGGTGGTAACTTTCCTTGAAGGAATTTGGGAGGGAGAAAAGCAGCATCCTGTTGCAGTTGTGGACAGGAACCTAGACTGTAGGACTCCCCATAGAGCCCACCTGCCCTACAGCATAGACATATCCAGCCAATTTTCCTTGACCCAGCCTGTTGTTGAGATTGCATGGGATTGGGGAAGAAACGCTGGTTAAACAGTAATTGTATTGCTACTTTACAGGAGTTGCTGCTAACTGTGCATCTGCTCTTGCCCAAATGGCTGCTGCCTCCTGTGTCCAAGAAGAGAAAGAGGAAAAAGAAATCCAAGAGCCCAATGATACTATAGCTCAAGGTAACTATGTGATTAAATTATCTACCTTATCTTATATTGCCTGCAAAGATGCAACTGGAAAATACTTTGCTACAGATAGAAGAAGCACAGAGGGGAATGTCACTACTGTGCACCACTCACTTGTAGGCGTATGAGATATATGTCTAGAGGCTTCAGTATATGTCCTGCTGTCCTAGGATCTTAACATTATGTCACACTAATTATATTTTATATGGAACTGAAATCAGTGGAACAGCAGATAAACCAACAGCATTTTTGAAATGTGCACTTTTTAAGCCTTGTATTACTAGTACAACCAAAGGACATCATAGAAATTATTTTTTTTAATATATATAGGGTGGTAATATACCCTGAGTTTGCATCCCTCTCCCTGTCTTTTGTATACATCCTTCGTTGTCTTTCGTCGCCATCAGATATTTAAAACTGTTTCTGAATCATGTTAAAAGAAGCTGGAATAAAAAAATGAGATATGTATAACATTTAAAAAGTTCTGCATCTCTATACCACTACTTCAAACCTGATGGAAGTCAGTAAAGGCTGTTGTTGTCTCCAGTGGCTGTTTGGAGAGAAGCACATAAAATGTGTCTGATGACATCTGATTTATAACGGCAAGAAGCCCAAAACACAGTGTTGCACAAATGGCCCTGCTTGGCATTTAAATTTGATGTCTCAGTAGAGAAAACAAAATTGAATAGGCCTGACCACAAACCAGCTTTTGACCACTCTGCTAGATATGACGGAAGCGAGTTGGCCAGGCCACGCTGAAGCAAAGAGGAGGCAGTAGCAGTGGCCAGCAGCCAACAGAGCTGTTCTATGAAAGCTTGCAAAGCTTCAGAATTTGTTTTAATTCCAATGCAGTCTGAAAACTAAGCTTTTCAGAGATTATCAGGAAAAAGGATGAGGTCCAAATGCTTGTAGTTCAGATCAGGATTAGTTTTGCCTTGACAAGAGTATCCATTAACAAAAGCTCTTTGGTGAAACTTCACTCTTTTGTTTTTTTCATTAGCAGAGATTTTGGTAAAAATAAATTAATATCCAGCCAGCCAGCTCCAAAGAAAAATATGTAATATCGCTAGCAATCTGCATCTGTTCTGTGGGTGACAAGATGTGAATTTGGGAGTGGAGGGTGTCAATCTGGTGTTGATTTTTTTTTTCCATAAATATAAGATCAACCAAAGGGGATTTTGATTTTAAAAATGTCTTAACGTTTATTAGGAAGAATTGGGTTTCTCTGATTTGTTTTTCCGTCTAAAATCCACATTCTTTTATGGGTTTCAGACTGTATACCTTTGCCATCACCCTATGTACAAACCAGTGTTTGTTTAAAAGCTGGAGAAACTGATGGGTTTTTTTTATTTTTCATGCTGCAGTGAAACAGAAAGTGGAGCAGAAACTGGAGCAGATGGGGAAAGTGCAGGGAGTCTGCCTGCACACTGCTCATGTTTTGTGTATGGATGCGGTCCTTAACGTGGGCCTGGAGATGGGAAGCCACAATCAGGACTGTTGGCCTCATGTGTTCAGGTACTCACCAGCTTTCCCAAAAGAAGCAGAATTTATACCATGTTGCCTGAAAGTAACTGACTGAGAAAAAAAGTACTTTATGTGCTCTGGGAGTGTTCTGTATAAACATTGTCAGAGTGAATCAGCTGCTAGTATCTGTAAGAGAAAAGACGGTGCTGTTTTCCACCACTGTTCGGAGCCAAAATCAATGCTTAGATGCTTTCGGGCACCTCCACTAAACTATTTGCTATCTAGGCACATGGGAGGCCAAGGGATGGCGTAAGTCAGGTTGTCTGTGTGTAGTCTGAGAGTTAGAGATCATCTGTTTACAGTTTGAGGAGAATGTCCTGTGCATAGTATCTGGTTCAGACGTAGAAATCGGTGCCCGTGAATGGCAGCTGGTTTCCATGTAAGCTGGCTTCTCACAGTGATGGGGCTGTGAGTCAGCCGAGAGCTGTACTTGCACTATCCTTCAGACTCACCTCTGGACTACAGGCCCAAGCATTTCTTCAGTGAGCTGGGTGATTAGTGGGAGGAGGAGTTTTTGCTTTGGGCGTTTCATTCATCATTTCTTCTCCTGTTTGTTCTCAGGGTGTGTGAGTACATCAGCACACTGGAGCACACCCACTTCAGAGATGGTGCTTCCCAGCCCTCCCTTACCATCACCCAATCGCAGCAGGCACCAGGAGGGCTGCACCCAGACTCTGAGCCTGGGGAGTCTCCCCAGGCACTGACCCCGGAGCAGGAGACCACCCTCAGCAGCAACCCTGTCATTCAGCCGGTTTCGATCCAGGAACTCATCAAGGAGAGCAGTAAGGGCAGAGCTTTTGACTTCCGTGGAGGCAGCCTGCTGTGTGGGACCAGTGCTGCTAAGGCTGTTCTCACACTCTCCACACAAGCTGACAGGTAAAAGCAGCGCTGTGTCCAAAACAGGACCAAAATGGAACTTCCTGTGGTGCAGTGGGGTCTGGCCTTTGTTTGTTGCAGCTGCTTGGTTCAGTTGAGTTTCAGATGAGAGCTGCACATGCATCACAACCAGCAGTTCCTGAAAGACCTGGTTTTCTGCATCTCTGCAGTACCTGCCCTGCAGATACTGGGCTGAGTATGTCTGCACAACAGTGAATACGCCAAGTAAATCAAATGCATCCTGAGAGCGGATTGATTGCTTGCATATAAATTGATCTGTTGTGTTCATTAAAGCAGACAAAAGAAGTGGGTGTCTTGCCCTGACAGGAAGGGACTGAGTGACAAGACCAGTGTTGGTTAGAAAGCAACTGCTTCTGTCAGGACTGTGTGGACAGCTTATCAGCCTGCTGCAGCATGTCCAGAGGAGGAAGGGCCACCAAGCGTCATCACAGAATGGCTGGGTTAAGTCTCCCTACAACACAGTCTTCGGACTGATACCTTGCAGACTTTTTTTCTATTTCTGCTATTCTTTCGGCAGCCCAGACTAGAGCTGAAAATTTCCTGTGTTTGCATACTTGTAATACCCCTTTTTTTCTCCAGCTGACATTTTGCATTCTTAATCTTTGCCCATAGGAGGGCATTATTTGCAGATTTGGAGGAAGAAGTAATACATACTGACACTGCTTGTGCGAGTTTGACTCTGTGCATGGAAAGTACGTTTTATTCAGGGAGCTCACAATACAACCTGGTATGAGAGCGTTAGAGAATAGCAGTACTGTAATCTTAACGATGCAGGTTTTATTTCTGCACTGACTTCAGTGTGGACCTTATCAGGACTCAGTCCCCAGTTTCCTAGGACTATAGAAAGTTTTTCATGAAAAGGAATGTCAGAAAATCATATTTGTGTCAACTTGTGGCTGCACCATGGGAAATTTCACTGTGATCTCTATGGAACCCTCCTCCTATGTAAGCAGAAGTTTACTGCTTTAAGCGTACAGATTTTAGCTCATTGCAGATGAAAAATAACAACTCTTGTTTATATTCCTCAATTGCAATTCAGGTACAGCAACTTTAGTCTAAGACTTGAATTAGTTTGTTTTTCATGTAAAAGGCTGTAACTTTATATGGAGCAAATTGGTGTAACTCCAAAGCCAGTGAAGCTATGATGACCTATGTTGTGATGACTGGTCATATTCTCACTGGTTTTTTTTATTACTGGTTATAGTATTAAGATATGATATTATAGCACTAACGGGGAAGCGTTGATTTCCTTAGAAAAGTGACTTTCTGTTTTGGTACCACAGCTGAATCTTGGAAGGCTGCTGGTTGGTCCTACAGCAGTCTGCTTTCCACCCCGCAATTAATAAAGTTTCTGGATTCAAGTCTTTCTGTAGCACTGTATAAATCAAAAAAACCTCGATAACCCAACGTGTCACCAAAGGCAACACATAGCAGCCATGTACAGATAAGGGTTTTCCTCTTACATAAACATTTAAGTCTGCATCTCATGAATTTTTCAATTAGATTCTGTTCTTTTACTCACAGGCTCTTTGAAGATGCTACTGACAAGTTAAACTTGATGGCACTGGCAGGCTTCCTTTACCAGCTCAAGAAGGCTTCTCAGGCCCAGCTTTTCCATTCAGTCACAGATACAGTTGATTACTCGCTAGCAATGCCAGGTAAGTCACCTGAAGATCCCTTACAGAGTTCTGTGTTTCATATACAACTGTATTGCTTACAGGACTTGCTCTGTACTTTTACAGTTTTAGTTCTTCCAACTGAATTCCCAGGTGTAAATAAAACACAGTATTTAGTTTAATAAGATCTTTCTGTAGGAGAGATTCAAAGTCTTTAGAAGCAGCAGAGTGCTTCTTTTGGACAGGGACCACATGCACACCTGCTATGAAACACTGCAGAGGACATTCATTTGGTTGTTGGACTGTGGGAGTGTGAATTATCCACAGACATTTAATCACAACTCCATTTTGGAGCCCGATCCAGTGAGGAAACTTGGGTGAACATAGACCTAAGACAATGGATTTAGGTTAGACATTTGACAGTGGGATAACCTCATAAGTGTTCAGAAAATGGGTGATAGGAAACAAGGCACACAGCTGAAGAATGTTAAATAAAGCAGTGGGATTTGTCTTGCTTCCTCTTCCCGAGCAGAGTGGAGCATATACCTACAGTATAAAACCAGTAAGTTTTGGTTTCCATCACTGTCTCAAATAGAGCAGAAGCATTGGACCCAAAGGAAGATATTTCACTTAAATTTGTACTGTGCCTTTAGAAGTTACATTAATCATACGGGCTTTGTTCTGTCTTGTGGCAGACGTGGACTTTATCTGGTAAATGTCTCAGATTTAATCGATTTCCCCTCTCCCTGAAGTGCTACTTGTGACTTTCTCAATGTGACACTTGAAGTTGTTCGGTTTTTGCTCTAGCTTGTCTCCAGGCCTCAGCATTCATCACTTTATTTTTAATAAATGGTGACCCTCTTATCACATATTCAGTAGTCAATCAACAGTAGTTAGTAATAATGAAATTAAAATTAGAATAGACCAATTAATTCTATATTTTTTTTTAATATTAAAAGTGGTATGCCCCGATCATGTCTTTCGTTAGAGATAAAAGCAGCAGTGTATTTTAAATGAGAGAACGAATTGTGTTTTGAAATGTTGTAAGAGCAACAGAAGATGCATCCTTTTCAAAAGGAAATAACGAATATTACTATCTGGGGAACAGAAAAGCATTTTGTCACATTCTTTGCTTCACATCCCTTGCTTGACAAGAAATACAAAAGGACAAACCAAAACTAAATAATTTGCAGTTTGTATTCTTTCCTGTAGGTGTCACCAAAGGTTTTTGCAGCTACTGTTTTGGATCTCAATATGGATTATTTAACTCCTTGCTTAACTTTTCTGAACTTGACTTCTCCAGGCGTTTGTCTTTAAAATGTTTCAAAAAGAAGTGATCACTTAAATGAAAATAAAGTGGGTTTAATAAGTTGTTTTTAAAACTTGGATCCATCTCCTCTTCTTTTACCTAAGCAGGCATGGGCTGTGTTTTACATTGAATTTTTTTTTCTTTTCTGTCTTTTTCTCCACCACCTTCCCCACTCTTCCCCCCTGACTTAATACTAATAATGTCTAACCTGATTTAAATTCCAATTCAGACATCTAGAGGTGGAGGAGCTGCTGTTGCTTAGTTTCCGTTTGTTTTCTTTTACATTCTTGTAGGTGAAGTAAAATCTACCCAGGACAGGAGAAGTGCGCTTCACTTGTTCCGACTTGGTGATGCCATGCTCAGAATTGTAAGGAGTAAATCTCGCCCGTTGCTCCACCTCATGCGCTGCTGGAGCCTGGTGGCACCTCACCTTGTAGAGGTAGGAGTGGGAGAGAAAATGGGAATGTGTGCAAGAGATCGTAAAGTTGAAAAGGCTGGAGAAGGCTTGGTAGCTCTTAAAATGTATATCAACCCTCAACACTGTCAAATGTGGTTATGCTTCTGTTGGAGTACTGTATATACTGTCTCATATATTGTGATAGTGCCACTGACAGCGCAGTTTTAAATATCTGAAATGGGCAGGTCCAGGGACAGCCTGTTGGGTTTTTGCGATGTGATACTTTTTGTGTCTGTGATGTAGAAGCTGAAACCACCCTAAGAGGTTACAAGTAACTCTTCCATCTACCTTTTTTTCTTAGTCAAAGTCTGCATCGCTGGGAATCTTCCCATAAGAGGGTGCAGGCTTTCTTTTCCTGCATAAAGCCAGCTCAGCGGGGAAGATGGTGACATCTTTCCCTTTCCTTCTCTTTGCTTGTGAACCCTGGTCAGTGGCGTGCCAGTAGCAGCCGCGTAATGGATTTGAGTCATAACAAATGACCTTTCCTCAACCAAACTTTCAGTCTTACCTGGTGAAATGCTGGTGTCTTGACTTCTCAGAGCTTTTTGATTTGTATCATTGGTATGAATAAACGTGCGGTACTTCCTTTCTTTCTCTTGGTGAGGTATGTGGTGTCATGCCCAGGTCTATTGGGAGGATGCTTCTCGGGAGTTTTGAGATGAGTTGTTCAGTAAATTTCCATAACACTTCATTGACTCAAGAAAATCTGTGGACTGTCTTACAGCAGAGTTCAAACACTGGGGAGTCTCAGTGAAATTCCTCTAATTGAAGTAAAAATAGCAGAGAATAGTTTTGTTTTATGCTTTAACAGCCGTTTATCTTAAAAACTAGTGTCTCACTTGCCTTTGGATGCCAGCCTGAGACCACTTTAAATACTTTTCATATTTTGAACTCTTTAAAGCCTTTTAAGGTCCTGAGCCATTTTAAACTCAAGTACCTTCCATGTTTTCAGAATGCAGGACTGGTCAGTCTTTTTGATTGACTTCAGTACACATGAGGGCATTACTGGGAAGGAGCAACATCAGCAAAAGTACACAGTTTGTCATAACTTGCATAGTTGCTCAAAATAGTAACTTTATGTCCAGATTCACCAGTGATTAATTTTTTAATAGCTCTTCTAAAGTGAGAAGGTTCTCATCACTTTTAAGTTCCATAAATAGCCAAATAGAAAGTGAAATTTGGTCATGCATACATAGATATGGTGCATAATGCTGAAACTACCTTTTTGAAGGGAAAAATAGCCACATGGTAGAAACGAAAGACATTTCACGTGAGTTCTGTTTTGTGGGTTTCATTATTTTATTTATTTATTTTTAGCTCTGTGCTTTTTGAATTGTCATCAAACCTTCGTGCATCTATGGGACTCCAAGCAGCTCAGAGTCTGTCATCTGTTTCCATGGCAGTACTCTCCCATTTTCATTGCAGTGGGGTCCTTACTCACATCAGCGGTGAAGCCGTTTTTAGGGTTCAGCAACATGAAGTGCTTACTTTCCTTAAAATTGTCGCACTA